ATTTTCTAACTTTTTTTAATGTGGCTTATTTGGCAGTCGTCACATAATTCACCCTCACATTGCCGAGGCTTTTTTACTTTGAATTACAAAACTTGCATGAAAGCAAGTAAATGATTAATGCATTTAGTCCCAAATTTTATTTAAAATGGTGCTTTGTGAATCTTCCAAATCCTATGCATTGTTTAGGATTGTCATGTTTACACTCACCTGGAAGTTCCTCACTGTGTCTCTGTCTATGGCTGATGTGGCTCCCCCTCAGTGCATGGTGGGTACTCCGGTGTGCTCATCAGCCAATAACAAGCAGCCAATGTCCCATGCAGAACATGGACACAGTGCCGTGGCTCTCTCAATCATGGCATGGCCTGCAGGAAGCTCCTGTCCACAGCCGAGCCCATGTGTGGAGACTTCACAACTTGCCCAGATCCTAGGTGTGCATGCTCGAAAGATTGCCTCCTAAAGGGCAGAACACCTGATATCTCTTAAAAGGATTCATCAATTCAGCCAATAGTATGTGAGAGGTGGATGCCTCTTCCCTATAAAATTACAGCCTACCCTTACCTCAGTTACACTGTGCTCCTCGGTGTGTATGCTTCTGTGAATCCTGTTGTTATGTGATCCTTGACCTACCTGCCTCTTACACTGTATCTAAACCTGCACTGCCTGCACTTGACCTCGGCTTTCACCGAATATGAGATTGTCTCATCCCTATTTGGTACCTCGCATCTGACTTACTGCCACCTCCTGGGCACCACCTGTCAAAACCTCAACAAGGATTCAGATGCACAGATTTTCATCTAGACAGTGAATGCACCCTGGAGATTGCTGCAGGTTCAGGGAGACCGAATTCCATCCAGATTTATCTTTAGTAAAAAATGGGAATTGCCATTGTGGTCAGAATTTGTACATATTCACCAGATTTTGACCATCTATAAACAATCTGGTGCTTAGTGAAAAACCCATAGAGATTTGCCTAATTTCACACTTAGCTCTTGGCTGAGTACTATCCATCCCTGAGGCTTTAGTTATATCACCTTTCTTTAGTTGCTGCAGCAGCTTGTCTCGAGTCATTCAATCACTATTTTCCTGCATGTGTTTTGCACCAATCATTTGCATATCTTTTGCCATAGGTTCCTCCTTGAAATATATTATAATATATTAAAAATAATTATTTTAAATGTCTGCATTTTTCCTGATCTTCATCTGCCAACAAACCCATCCATGATTTCAATGAAGCTACACTTAGATTTTTGGGATTGTTACAATTTATGTACTTGGCCTGGAACTCTTTGGCTATTCCTTTATTTTATTTTCTAGTTTAGACCATCTAATCACCTTTTTAATGACAGTATTGGGTTTTACATATTTTATATAGGATATCTCTTATTTATCTGACTTGAATCCTATAAATGGTGTTTATCCTCATTATTTTTTTTTCACAATATGGTTTGTCAGTTAGTAATTTTTAAAGCTGCCCTTATCCTAGAACAGCTCTTCTTCCTCTTCAATATCCATACTTGGTGGTTATAACATATTCCAACCAATAATTAATTTCCCTATTTGCCTAAGCAGATATCTGTCAAAAAGGCTTCCACATTTTCCTTGTCACATACCACATGCTTATATATTTACGTTTGTTGCTATTTTTTGTGTCAGTTGTTCTAATTTGTTCTGTGAATGAAACCAGTAACTATGGCACCCTTTTTTTCCCCCACAAAAGATATCATCCATGAATGGTAAGCATATGGTACATTATTTGAATTTAGAAAAATAAAGATTAGATAAAGTTGTACACCAGTTGACCTTTCTTGTGACTGCAATACTGATGCCTTATGCGTATTGTGATTATGCGTATTGTGAATATACTACTGCTTCCCAGAGGACCACAGCAGAACAAAGTTGAAAGGAAATGCATATGTATCAATATTCAACAAAGCATCAATGAAAAATGAAAAGTGTGTAAAATAATATTTATTTTAACCCCTTAAGCACTGCGGGTATTCTATGCCATCCTTAAGGGGCTTGCTCTAAACACCATCGGGCAGCATAGAACGTCCTCGCCATTCTTGCCACCCAAGTGGCCGCTGATATTTGCCCATTGCAGATCACGGTCGGGGAACCTGGCTGGCCACCCATGCATGTCACTGCAATCACTGTTACAATGTGTCAGCCAATGAATTGGCTAACACATTCCCTCTGCCACTCTCCTTCACCTCACTTTGATCTGAAGGAGAGAGGCAGAGAGATCAGAGCCGTTACAGTTTCCCTAACTGTAAAAGTTATTAAAAGTTCAATTTCATTTTAAATGTTATCGATTTTTTTTAATCCTTTCTGATCACAGCAACACTGTGATTAGCCTGATTAGGCTTTTAGTAATTTAGTACTATATTAATTTGTTTTTTGGGGGGTCAAAATAATATTTTTTTTTACCCTTTGTGTCAGCTGCAGCAACCCAAATCTCTGCTGACCTTTTTTTAGGGTTATTTTTATTAAAAAAATAACCCTTTCAGTACTGATCGCAGCTGCCTAAACTGTGATCAGGACATTTATTTTATTTTTCGTAGGTTTTTGAGGGTGGGTAGTGGGTGTTAGGCAGGTAAATAATAGGTCATTACCCCCTTAGTTTTTTATTAGATAATTGATTTGGCTCCCTAGAATGGCATGTCGCTACTCAGCCTAGTAGGCGTATTAACTTCTGACAGGCAGTGATAGTGACATTCTGCAAGACAATGACAGTGTAACAGTGTATGACTGCAAGCCAAATAGTTTTTTTGATCTCTTTTTGTTGGACAATATATTTGAGCTCATGGCTCAGCAAAAAATTTGTTTGCCATGCAGTATCTTTCTGCACATCCGGGGTCCCATTATGGTCGCAGGAATATGTGGCGACCCACGGATGTCGCAGAGATGAAGCGGTTTTGTGCTTTAACCCTAGTGATGGGTATAGTTTAAAAGCCCAGTATCAGGTCCTACTGGAGCAAGCAATGCATCCTGGCTACCCCTCTTTCCCCTTAGGTTATGCAGAGAGATCGCTACCTGCAACTGCTGCGATTCCTTCATTTTAATGATAACTCACCGTATCCCCCTAGAAACAACTCACTGTTTGACAGGCTCTATAAAATACAGCCCTTTATTCAACTCCTGTAAGACAAATTTACTGAATATTATGTCCCCGAAAAAAATATTTCAATTGACAAATCCCTAATAAAATTCAAAAGTCGACTGCTCTTTAAACAATATATACCATCTAAGCGGTCCCGATATGTTGTTAAATGTTATAAATTATGCAAATCCTGTACTGATTACACATGGGCGTTTCACATTTACCAGGGGAAGGATAGGCATCTTTACCCACCATGATGCCCGGATTCTGTGGTACAAGTGGCGAGATTTTGGGGTATCTAATCCTTCCCTTGTTAAATAAGGGATACAAGCTATGGTTTTACAATTACTATACCAGTATAGAATTATTTAAAAATGTATATTTTAGCTTGCTATTGCCTCCTATACCTCCCTATTTACAGGTATTCTCTGCCTCTTTTTTATTAACTATTGCAACCAAAGTTTTTTTCTTTTCTTTTCTGTATTCATATAGAGCAATATATTGCTCAGAAATATGTAAGTAGTTTTCCTTTCTTTTATACCATACAGTTTAACAGAGCGCACTTTTTTTGTGTGTTTTTCATTGCATGACATCGCTGAGAACATCTGGTAGAACAGAATCTAGAAGTGGGGATTATATCACTTGATGTTGTTTTACTGGAGCCATATAGGGCTCTTTCTCATGCAAGCGCATTACTATATATTACCATACATAGTCATATTATGATTGCATACTACACTACATACTGCCCCTGTTTTTGATTTACATAACATTATTCTACTAAAGAGTCAGATCTACTAAGAAAGGCACCCATGGCGAGGATTGTTCTGTCCATGGTAGAATTCCAGAGCTGGCTAGAAGCTCTAGAAAATGTAATTGGGTCTCCTTATGCACTTCATCCAAATTTCCAGTTATACTACACCATTGGTTGTTTCTGTTTCATCTTTACATATTCATCATTTAGAAGTGCAACTACCAACATATTGTGAAAAAACTATCATCATCTCAGCCAAGAAGAGGTAACCTTGGCAGGTTGTTGCTGCTATTTAACAAACAGCACTTTAGTGCTTAATCTTTTTTTGTTTTTAATTTGTAACAATATATTTATGTGACAATCCAGGAGACAAAGATCATAATGTTCTTTACATTCGAATTTTGCATAATATAAATATTTTTCACTCCTAAACAATAGAATTTAAGACAATCAACTGGTTTAGTCATTGATCACAAAAGATTTCCATTGTGATAGAGCCTCTATATCCAAGAATGGTTTGTCATGATATTCTACCTCTTCTAGTGATTGTACTCTGCTTTTGACTGTGGCTTTTTTTTGCATTTTTAATTGTTGCATAATTTCCCTCAATAAATTATTCATTGTTAGAAATGTACTCAAACTCTGGGATTATTTAAATAATCTTTTCTTAATGTTTAAAATTACTTCAGGGTACTGTTCTGTTGTCAGAAAAGGATTAATATCATATATTAAATGAAAACTAATATGTGCAAGTCTGTTATATGACTTACAAATTGCAAAAAAAGTATAAATAATTTAATTTCTTTAGACTGTAAGATCCTGTCAGCAGAGCCCCAAGCACACAATTTAAAGCAGTCCCTCTTTTGTGCAAGTTTTCATCTTTTTTATGTAGTACTGCAGAATATGTTGTCACTTTATAAAATGATAAAAACCTTAATATTATATTTTTCTTATGTTGCAGGCTTAAAGTCTTTAGGGATGACAATTGCCCAATGCTATGAAGAGGTTGGACTGTTGCTCTTGTTCCTCTCTGTGGGTATTTCCATATTCTCAGCTCTGGAGTATGCCGTTGAGTTCAATGTCCCTGATACAACATTTACCAGTGTCCCAAGTGCCTGGTGGTGGGCAACAACTTCAATGACCACAGTAGGGTATGGAGATATCAGACCAGACACGACAGTTGGGAAAATTGTGGCCTTTTTGTGCATTTTATCTGGAATTTTAGTTTTAGCCTTACCGATTGCCATTATAAATGATCGATTTGCTGCTTGCTATTTCACTTTGAAAATGAAAGAAGCCGCACTACGTCAAAGGGAAGCTTTGAAGAAACTCATGAAGAATATAAACACAGAATCAGATATCAACATTAACTTAAGAGACATTTATGCAAAAAGTGTAATGGAAATGTTACGATTAAAAACAAGAGAACGTGCTAGTACAAGAAGCAGTGGTGGAGATGAGTTTTGGTGATATTTTCTAACTAAAGTATTTTGGTACTAAGTAATTGCTATATTTACAACATAGTACATTTATAGATTTGAACAATACTCATGTTGTACATATAGTTGTCCTCAAAGGCTACTCATAATACAGGATTTAGAGATTGTCCAACTCTGTCCAAATATTCACTTCTTCATAGCTTGCTTTGTGACATGGGATTCCTCATACTTGTAGCACAATTTGGATCACCACGCCATAGGATTCCTACTTACATTCTCCTACACTTTTTTCTCATCTTCATTCCATTCTTCCCAGTCCTTGTTTTCGCTTCCATTAATTATTGGTATATTACAGACTATTATTATTATTATTATTATTATTATTATTAATACTGGCATTTATAAAACGCCATCAATTACAGCAAATTATGCATCCTTTTCCCACTTTTTTGGCCTACAACTTAAAGCAGACCTGTCTTTTTTCTATTTATTTACTTTTCCTTATGCCTCTGTATCTTAATGATAATACTCCCCTCCCTGACACTTGCCTTTGTTTTTATTTATAATTGTCTCTTCCTTGTGCTGGATCTCAGTACCTGGGTGCTGATATTTTATTCTCCTCTGCCCATGATGTCTGCAGTTTCCCTTCTGTGGAATTGAGTGTACTAATGGATTGTGGGTAAATCTGATTGGCAATGAAACAGAATCTTGCTTTAAGCTCCGCCCATTGCCAAATTGTGTCAATCTGACTGCTATGCATGCAACAGCTGCGACCCCTCCAACTGTGGGTCACCGGCAACACTTCAGTGCCGGTGCACAGCCGCACTGGCCCAGGGCCCGCAGCTGCCAGGTGACCGGCAGGAGGGGAGCGCACTGCACAGCGAATTAAATGTGTCACTGAATGTAGCATGACTGAATGGACTGCGGTCTAACAGGACATGCTCTCAGTGAGAGCACTTCCTGTTAGACCAGGTTCCGCTGTCAGCTCGGACAGCTGGTACTTGAGGGAGATTAAAGAGATAATCATGGAGGGGGTGGAGACACATAGGCGGCAGAATAAGAAATTAAGGGGCTGGGGAGGACAAAATGAGACACATGGAGAGGTGGGGGGAGACACATAGAGGGGCAGACGGGATGAGACACACAGAAAGGCTTGGGGGGAATGGGACACATAGTGAGAAACATAGAAGGACTGGGGAAAGAGATACATGGGGATGGTGAAATGAGATACGAGGGGTCGTGACACATAAAGTGGCTGAAAGGGAGAATAAGACACAATGACGGGCTGGGGAGTGGAGGGACTGGGGGCAATAAGACACATGGAAGGACTGGGGGAAGAATGCAATACATGAAGAGGGGTGAGACACATAAAGTGGCTGGGAGGAAGAATGAGACACAATGAGGGGCTGGGGGGATGAGACACATGGAGGGGCTGTGGAGGAATGAGACACATGGAGGAACTGGGGAAATGAGACACGTGGTGGGGTTAGGGAGAAAATAAGTCATGGGGCTTGGGGAAGGGGAGAATGAGACACATGGAGGTGTTGGAAGAAGAATGGGGCACATAGAGGGGCTGTTGAGGGAGAATGAGAACCAGGGAGGGGCTGTGAGGGGGAATGAAACCCATGGGAGGGATGAGATACATGGGGGGGGGAGGCAATTTTGTATTGTTTTTTAGTTAAAAACAGGGAACTATGTAGAAACAGATTAGATTAAGTAAAGTTTTGCTGACAGAGCTGCTTTAAAGTCTGCTTACTCATTTACAAATTTTTCCTTTATCTCTTCAATAGCAAGACTTGGTAACATCAATCAAATTAGTGCATTCTCTTTGGGGAAGCTCTTCATTGCTCGTACTGTTAGATGTATTCCCAATGTATAAATACCCACTGCATATTTACTATTCTCTGTACTGTATAAAAACTAAAACAAAATTGATTGCAAATATTGACATCTCCAAATCCTAAGCATTGATTGTCCTTGAGGGCTGATTTTAAAAATATTCAACTTACTGTGTAGTGTCTTACCATTCTTTATAAATTACAAATGATCTTCTCTCAATAGCTTCATGTATTTCTTTTTTATGATATATTAGACTGCATATATTTTGAAACCTAGACTGTGCTTCAATGTACATGAAATCATTATCACTAGTTTTAATTAATTTGTTAAATAGAGTCCTTTCTGTCTATCTGTGATATTAGCTTGCCTTTAGTTTGATGTGCAAGCCTAACCTTTGTGTGTGTATATATATATATATATATATATATATATATATATATATACTATAATTGTGCAGATTAATATGTTTGGTCAATAGTTTAGTATAGAGCCTTGCAAAGACCTTATTACTAAGAATTAAATTGTCTAAAAAAATGTTCATAACTTGTGACTAAATCATCAGATTCGTATCCAACAAGAATGTTACTCCAAAAAAATGTCTGCTATGAAGCTCTCATTATGGCAAATTGGCACAATGAGATACAGAGCATATTTTGCATTGTGTGTGGTATGTACACCCAGCAGGTGCATATACCATTTTTTCCTCTTTATACTAGTCAGTAATATGTCAAATCTTTGGATCTCAATTAATTTAAGCAGGCAAGACCAGTAATCCCTGGAGTGATCTTAACCTGCTAGAGGTTCTGACCACGTGCTTCATTTATCGATTCAACACAAGGGATTATAACCTGTTCATAATTAAACAGTAGATAAAGGGAGGGAATAAAATGTATTTTAGATTGTAATATGGGGCCCTAGAAATTATGGCAAGGACATTTAATGAGTCCAGTGGTAGCTGGAAATATGATGAGAACATAAAAGGCCAAGTGATATTTTTGGGGCCAAGGAAAATAGGTGTGTGACGAAAGGAGAGACAAGAAGCAGACAGGTGGGGAGCAAAATGTCCATGAGATACTAGTATATAAGGAAGGAAACCACATAGGACCAAGCCGAAGTGATTAGATGAGATTGGTGGTTATGGTACTAAAGAGCAGGTGGGTATCTTTGTTAAGAGATCAGAAGACATAGGTCAGTTAGTTAGCCTGGAGAGGAAGAGACATTTGTAAAGAAGTGGCAAGGTGGCAGAAAACAGAGGTAGGAGTGGAACAAGAGACAAGGGGACAATTTGAAAAAAGGAAGAAAAGAACATGGAATACAAATGGTAAAGGTGCAGTTTGTATGTGCATTGTATTTATTTGCAGCTGTAGTTTGTGCTTTATTCTTTCTCGTCATTCCATCATTTATAAATTCTCATTTGTATTATTTTAATTGTGCTATTGGTATTATGCTCTGCCTTCAGAGTTGATTGTTCTATTGACCTGGCCATTACTATATTTTGTCCTTGAGTTCTTAGTTACATAGTTACATAATAATAGGCTGTGAAAACACTCAAGTCCATCAAGGTTAGACATTCACATGTCTGTATTGTTGGTGTTGATCCAAAAGAAGGGGAAGGCAATGGAGAAAAATGCAATTTGAAACAATTTCCAATATTACCACAAATCAGACACACATGTCCAAAATTGCACCACATATTCAAAGGTAGGGTCTTACCATTGATTTATGAAAATGCTAAATAATATGTTTTTTTTTTCTTGTGACTCAATAAAACCCCTTTTATGTAATACTGTAAGGGCCCTAGCAACTATTACCTAACATTGAACATTGATGCATTGTCTGTTGCTTATATCTATTTCCAAGTCTTTCTTATTTATTAATTTCTCTAACTCATTTGTGAGTTTGGATTGTTCTGTGTTATTCAGTATCTACCTGAACAGGGTACATTTAAACTCTTTGAAGGGTTCTCCTAAATCTTCTGTAACAATACATTAACAAAAAATAAAATCATATACTATCTGTTCCAGGAAAAAACAATACTCAAAACCGCTGAGAAGTACTTCCACGCAATTTTGCAGTGCATTGGTTCCTAGATCTGGAAAAATGTTTTATTATTTTGTTTCTAAAGTGATATTCTGTTAATTGGGTTAAGCACATATACTGTTAAAACCTAAAATATTTAAAGAGAAAATCCTTCATCAGAAGAAACATTTCTGTTTAGTAGTTAATCTATTTTTTTAAACCTATGTGAGCCAATAAAAGACAAAATAAAAGTAGGGTTATTTAATGAGATAGAAATTCAATTTAGTTACTTTTACTTTAACTTTGGATTCCCCTAGTCAGTTCTTGATATCTCACAGTTTAATGAATAATCCTGAAAAATCGTGCCACTGGAACTAATGAATTGCCGGGACACTCCATTGCAAAATACAAAAAAAAATAAGGAAAATCACTATTTCGTAGATATACTCCCAATAAAACCATGCAAGCTTTTCAATTATGTATTCATTTTCAAAGCTGCAGATCACTTGTCTTCTTTCCAAGACAGCTGTTCTGGGCAACTCCCTGCCTCTTGAGTTTAGCTCCAGTGAGCTAATTAAACCAGGAAGTAACAGGGACAGTTGTAAGATTGACAGCCAAGGGTCAGATTGACAGCCAGATTGACAGTAACAGGGCCAGTTGTCAGAATGACAGCAAGGCATATTTATGAAAGTGATAATTTCTATTTTAATATGCACTTTTTGTAAATTGAAAAAAAAAGAACACACTTCACATCTAAAGCATTTTAGCAAACTGAAGTGCTTTAAGTGTTTTGGAGTGTTTCTCTAAATGTTAAAAAACGAAGTATACATGACTTCAGAGTTACCTTGCAAAGTTGAAAAAAACATCTCTAATTCAGCTCAGGTGGGTCTATTTTTTAATTCTACTCTTTATTAAGTTATCATTTCGCCGTAGCGTGCTGTTTAGCCTACATATATGTGATATCTACACATGCATTTGAATTGTGTAGTGAATGTTATCAGTTCTGTTCATACACCAATGAAATGTATATAACAAATAGTAAATTATTAATAATTCATAACTATATTAATAAATCATATTGTTATATGTATTCTGGCCCACAGAATGCTTCAAAACTATGTTTGCCCATTTAAGTTTTGACCTGATCTCCACAATGTGTACCTTGTTCTTTCTTCCTGACATTTGTTGGAAGTGTCCAATCTGCCTTTCTCTTTTTCAATTGATCCTTGAACAATTCTTTTGTAAATTTTCTCTAATCAAGTGAACCCTGTCATATCATGACATTTTTCTCCCTAGTGATTTTATTACCTATTATTTTCAGAATTCTTTCTCCTTTTTCATTACTCTACTATGTTTTTTTTTTTTACCTATAGCTATCCCGGTTGTCTTGTCTGTATTACACACCAATGTCTTCCCTGCTCCGGCTTCTTAATATATGTCTTGCCTTTTGGGTACCATTTATTTTGACCATTCTCCATTCTGTGATTTATTGGTTGATGTGAAAAATTATTTTTTACATTTAATTTAGAACTATGTACTGTTGTTGTTCTCATGCCTATATTACTTCCGTTCACTCATTTCATTGTCTCAGTTTTTTCCCTATCTGTTCTCACTGATTTTCTTCTTTCTCATTCTTACAATCTGAGTCAGTAGCCCTCTGTTTGTGTTTCACTATATCCTGATTTACGTTCTCACTCATTCTGTCTTTTTTGCCATCTTCATGTCAACATTTCTACTCTATCTTTCCTTGATTCTCCTCTGTTATTATTTTCTTCAAACTCCTGTATTCTAATTATGTACAAGAACAAATATTGAACATTATGTTCTCTTTGATTAAAATATAAATTCAACGAGCGTATTAATGTCATAATCTGATCGCTATGCTGAAATTATTTAGGTTCACTAAATATGTGTGACATATGTAATACATATATCTGTAGATAGATAGAGATAGATAGATAGATAGATAGATATAAAGATAGAGATAAAAAGAGATAGATAGATAGATAGATAGATAGATAGATAGATAGATAGATAGATAGATAGATAGATAGATATAAATAGAGATAGAGAGATAGAGAAAGATAGAGATAGATGGATGGATGGATAGATGGTTGGATAGATAGGTAGATAGGTAGATAGATACAGACAGACAGACAGACAGACAATGAGTCAGATACATAATTACTAGTGAGGAATTTTCCATTGACTTTTAAAGAAAATAATGTTTAGAAAAAAAAGCAGGGAGCAATAGAACTGACATTTTCAGTTGCAACAGATTATTCGTCTTAGCTGAGATGTTCTTGCAGTCTTTATTTTCACTAAATAATGACCTGTGATAAACTAAAAACTGAATTTGCTAAATTTTGTCAAAATAGAGATAGAAACATTAGTGCATAATTTCTCACCTGTAGTAATAATATTGTAAATTAGCTTTGACATTTTTGAAATTTAATTGCAAGCATTTAATAATGATGAACATTTAATACAGAGTTTAACATTGATGAATAGAGCCATGATTGGAACTTATTTGCAAACAATACATGTTTTATGGAAAGAAGTGTGATGTCCAATAAAATGTTTGAATATTATTTTTTTGATATATTTTGTCTTTTTAACTTGATATATTCCTCAAATTTGTATTTTGTACCCTGAAGCATCATAAATTACAATGGAAGTAAATTATATTTTAAAATAAAAAAATATTAAAATTAGATAAATTATATTTTCTGCTAAATTATATTCAAATATAAATACATTGTGTTTTATTCTGAATAATGTTTTAATATGCAGTGAGTAATGCTATCATTTAAGTTTTTTTAATGCTATATTGTTTTACTGCTTCAGATTTCATTAATAAAATTACTACATAGAGTTTGTGATGTATATCAATATGTAAACTATAAAAAAGAAAATTAAAAGATTGTGCAAAAAAAAAAAGTTAAAAAAAAACTGTACATGACTTTATGAAAGCTGGATACTAATTAATCATCTGATTATAAAAATAATACATTTACAGTCATAACCATCACATAAAAATAGGCATGTAACTGGGGAAAATTGCTAAATGAGAGCAATTCTTGTAAACCAATAGCATCTCTTTACATTTAGCACTTTGCCGTAATGTAAAGCTTGTTTTACTAAAATGTCTTTTTTTAAATGTAATTAAAGCGCTCATTAAGGGGTTACTCCAAACACCATGACCACTTCAGTTTCAGTTTCAAATGGTGGTAATAGTGCCTGGAGAGTACATATTCCGCTATGAAATGCGGCATTTATGGAGTTTAACCCATCTGCTGCATGTAGTGTAATTCCAGAGTCATATGGGGTATCATTAGATACCCCAAAACTCTAGTCAATTTTAATTGCACAGAATTGCATTCACTGGATGGCAGTGGTCAGTTGATGCTCACAGCCAATAAATGGTGGTGGCCAATGCTTCTCCCTTTTGCACATCTGCAGAAGCTGGAAGTGCATCACCGGACCACAAGGGCATATCAGAGCTCCCTGGGACCCAGGTATGGGCCAAACAATTGCTAAATGGTTAGTCTCATTACCAGGAAACTGGGTCCTGGATACCCCTGGCATCATGACAGTCATTTTCTCAGTATATGTTGACAGTATTTTCAAATTTATCTTCTTATAAACTCATACAATTGCTGCAATGTAGACAATTTATGGCTTTAAATTATGTTTGTGCTTGAAACTGCATTTCAGTTCATTACTACAGGAATACAATAATATGAAAACATGTATTTTTTTAATTTATTTTATTTGTGTTTGTATTACAAAATGCATATACAGTTCATGTAATAATAATTGCATCATTATCTGTATATATCCAACTCTCTAAGTTACCTGCTGAGAAAAACAGGCATATTTTCCATTCATACTTTCTACGATAAAAAACTGTAAAATGTACACCCAGTACTCAAAATAGTTATCAATATGCAGTATGAAAAATGCAAAATATGAAAAAAATGACTAAAATATAAATAAAAATCTAGCTTAATCATCATAGTTTAAAATGTAGAGATATAAACAAAATATATTATTATGAATTAACATATCTGCTAAGAAATATCTACTGCGAAATTAAAGCCATTTTGACAACTAGTATCCTATTAATAGAAAATTAAACGAAGGATATATCTGCTGGGAATTATATATTGTAAAATTATTTATATAATAATAATACATATCCTTTTTAAGACAAATATACATATAAGATATGCTGTTTAGAAAATTGAATTTTATTTATATAGAGATAATCTTTCTGAAAATGAGTAATAAACTAGAGGTATAATTCTTACTGATATTTGGAAAGTATGTATATCATATATGGTACTTAGATAGGATGGAGTTTAAAACTGCATATATATAGAATTCTTTTGTTAAAATGTAATAAGATAAGGTGTAGAATACAAGAGTATCCATAGAATATTGATACTGGATTTCTCTTTATTATATTATACCTATCTCCTCCACGGTCCGGAAACGAGTACGATAGTATCTGCTGGAACGCATGGTGAAACGCAGGACCAGAAGTGATGTATCGGCGTTCAATGCGGAAGAAACACAGGTGAGAGAATAATTGAAAATGAGGCTTGAAACGCATGGCGTCTCTATCACTATGGAGATTGCCCGGAAAATTACGAGCCTGAAACAAATGATTCCCCCATTAGAGGGGTATATATAGCAGGAAGGAGTCCAAGGAGAATTGACAGAGATTTTTTACCCAGCTGAGGAAGCCATTGGCGAAACGCGTCCTGGGAACTGTGCGCATTAAGACTCTGATATTGGACTTATATTGCCAAATAAGTGTATCTATAGATTTATATTTTAATATTTTTTTTATATGTATTAATGGTGAATAAAGCTCTTTTTTATTACACTTACGGCATTTTTGCTGCTACTATAAAGAAGGAATGTGGTCCTTAACCACATATGTGATCTAATTTGAGCCTATTGGAAAGCTCTGGGTTTCTGAGTACTATACTTACCTTTCTTTTGACCACTCATGCAAAGAACAACAATATTGCACCCCAAAAAATTAGCTAAACAAATTGTGAGTGGTGACTTGACTCAATATTTTATTTTATACGTTTTGCATAGTCTGCACTATGTATTTTTATGTTTTAAAGGGATACTACATAAGCACTGGGATTCCAAAGTAGGTATATAACCAATTATTTTGCACACTGCACATTATAGTGTTGTTATTATTATTATTATTATGTTATTTATATGTTATTACATATTATGTTATTATGTGTAGTTTCCACCTAACATTACCATAGCGCTTCACCATTAGACTTTTTTTGTTTTGTTTTTTTTAAATCAAGACACCACCTAGGACTTCACCAAGAAACGATGCAAGAGATGTGATTAAATGTTTCTTTTATGTTACATTATGCTATGAACCCAGACCTATGAATCAGGACCTATATGTTTATGTTTTAAGAGGTCACCTCTTCAGGCTTTTATATCTTCTTCACCCTTATATATTATTCCACCACTGTCTGTGGGGATGTAGATTTCCACTAAGAGATTTTGCTGCCACTAAGAGATATTGCTGCCACTAAGATATATGGGAGGCAAGATTCCCTTAATTGTTTTTATAATAATTTATTTTCTTTTTATTATTTCACTATATACTTTTATTATGGATCTTACTACTGCTATCTGCCTCCTGATCCTTATATCCTTGGGGGATTCAAACCATATACGTATTTAGGACTAACCAATCTGGAATTGCTCTTTCCCATGTAACTTAGTTTTACACTTTAATGTCACAATGTGCACTATGTATCTTCATTCTCTTTCATATCTGCATGGAGAGGATCCTACTCTATGGCCGAGATACTGTACCTTGGCCATGCCTTCATGGCACTTCTCTGGCTTCAGAGTGAGACCCATCGCCTGTATTTTCGTGAATACCGTAGACAAGTGCTTCAGGTTGTCTTCCCATGTGCTGCTATAGATGGCGATATCGTCTAAGTAAGTACATGCAAAGTCCTGTAATCCATCTAAGAGTTGGTTGACCATCCGTTGGAACGTAGCTGGGGCATTCTTCATCCCAAACGGCATAACCCGAAACTGGTATAGCCTGAATGGGGTGACGAATGCCGACTTAGGGGTGGTTGCCGGATTCGGCCTTGATATTTTTACTAGGGCCTCGGCCACAGATTCGGTCTTGATATTGGTAAGGGCTACAGCCTTCAGATGCTTAGTGGCATAGTCCACCACCGTGAGGATGTAGCTCTTTCCCGAGGTACTAGGTTTGCTAAGGGGCCATATCAGATCCACCGCTACCCGGTGGAATGGTTCCTCTATTATCGGCAACGAGCACAATTTGGCTTTGGCATGGTCACCCCTTTTTCCTATCCATTGGCAGGTGTCACATGATCTGCAATACTCCTGTAGGTCTTTAGTGACCCCTGGCCAAAAGAACGTCTGGGTGAGCCGGTCCTTGGTCTTCCGAACACCCAGATCTCTTGCTAAGGGTCGTGACTGAGTTTAAGTAGTTCAGCCCTATATTTACGGGGTACCACTAACTGCTTTTTAAGAATCTGCACAGCCCCACTCCCAACATTTATGTGGGAGAAGGGGCTGTATAGCATCCCAGGCCATATTGAATGTCAAAAAATCTTGAGCAATAGGTCTTAAGACAACCGATGTAAATGCATTCTTTTTTTTTCCTTTCAACATTTGAACTGAATTAAAAATAAGCTGCATAAAAACAGGTCATTGTTTTTACAATTTATTGACTAGTCCCTTTGTGCAAAATGGAAAAGTTCTTCCTCTTCTGTTTCCATAGTAGTAGTAGTTAATCTGGGGTTGAGCCCATTATAGGTAAATGGCTCCTATGTTTTTCATTCGCCACTTTCTGTCATAATATAATCACAACACATGTGGAGGAAATTGGAAACATTTTGCAAAAGTTTGAACTTAAAGACTTGAATTCAAAATACAATAAGGCTGCACAACCAAGCACAGTAAGTTCCCTGCAAGTAATCTGCTTGAGTACAGGTAGGCTGTTAGCAGAGAATATATTATTCTAACTGTGGGCTCAGGACATGCTTGAAATCTTTAAGATTATGAAAAAAATTAAGCTGCATAATGATGATAACATATGACTAACTATGTGCAGTCACTTGGAGGCTGCTACATTCTGCCAGTCCTGTGGAATCTTTCTAGGTGAGTTTTGTGAAGTGAGCCAAGTTGGTTCCTCAGTCTCTGTGTCTATGTTCCAGAGGTGGAGAAGCTTGCATCCATCTTAAGGTATAGTGATGGTTTTGTCAACTCCATTACAACTTATTAGGGGTTTCACTGGGAAACCCCATTTGTACTGGTCTTTTTCTTTGTGTAGAACTAAGGTAATTAGAGTGAAGGCTTTTCGTTTCAGCATGGTGTGGGTTGATATACCAGTAAAAAGCTTGTGATTCGCATAGCAACCTGCGAAGAAACCTGTAATGAAATTGTGTACTTGTTATCACATCTTATAATACAGATGCAGGTAGATGATTCAGTTTGGGAAGGTAATGTGTTTGGTCAAGCAGTAAATCTCTGTCAGAGGCTTCTGGGAGCAGCTTCTGGAAACGATGATTGGCACAGGTAGGCAAGTCGGAGGGGCCTGATCTCCTCAGGGACACCCTAATTCTAATATTATTCCTCCGGTCCCTATACTCATAATCTGCTACCTTCTGCTTCCAGGCCTGCAGCTTTTGCTATATTCTTTGGCCAAACAATAGAAAACATATTTTAAAGACTGAATCCAATATAAAGTTGGATAATCATCTTTAGTGCTAGTCTGTCAGCTGTCCAAATTGCTCAGTATTCTCACTTTCACTTACGAGTTATTTTTCTCCTGTGAGCAAAGATGGTACAGTCATTGACATATAGCTCACCTTATTTCTTGGATATACTAAAATGAGCCCATATTTTTATGTGCTGACATTTCTGTTTCTTCACAATTTAAATAATCCATTAAAACAGACAGACATTAAAGAATAAATATGCGTATGCTGTTACCATATATTTGATAAGACATAGAAAATTGGAACATAAATAAATAAATAGCTCTATTAACACCTAAAGAGAAATTTAGGTATGCTAAGTTCAGTAATTTTTCTAATTTCTGAGTATGCTATAAATGGAATGTGTCTCCATATTGTAAACAAATATTTGATGTTTCTCTTCATCAATAATGGCAACAATTAATATATACATGAATGATTTGGGGATTCTGGTATTTCTGTAATGTTAATTACCCTTTAGAAATAACCCTACCTATATATATTCCTAGTTAACCTGATATATATATATATATATATATTAAATAATGTTACTAAATCTATCACTTTCCAATACGTGTAGTGATATAATAAGTGTTCAGGCTCCTAAGCTGTGGCAGTTCTAAAACTTAAAGTTTGTACTTAAAGGAACAGCATAGGGTCAGTATTACAAATGTTTATTTATGACCATATAGTGCTAAACACACATTTTAGCCCCCTACACCCACCTTGGCCCTCTTTAATAAGTAGAAAACTCACCTTTATTCCTGCACTGCACTGTCCACACAATTGACGATCTCAGCCAATGCAATGCTTTCCTATGGGAGAGCAATGGATTGGCTGAGATTGTCAATTCTTGTGATCTTGGCCAAGGAGGTGGGGTTGGAGCCAAACACAGTGCAGACCAATCAGTATCTCCTCATAGAGATGCATTGAATTGACAATCTCAGCCAATGCAATGCTTTCCTATGGGAAAGTAATGGATTGGCTGAGATTGTCAATTCTTGTGATCTTGACCAAGGAGGTAGGGTTGGAGCCAAACACAGCGCAGACCAATCAGTATTTCCTCATAGAGATGCATTGAATCAATGCATCTCTATGAGAAATGTTAAGCATCTTAACGTTGTACAGCACTTACCCAGGAAGGACCTCTAGTGGTCTTCTGAGTGACTGCCACTGGAGGTGTTCCTAGGCAGCAATGTAACTTGAAAATGCCTGAAGCGACATACGATACTCAACAGAACAACTGCGTTAAGCTGTGGCTTATAGTGTCCCTTTAAGATATCTGTTAATCTGATAGTCATGTAGTATTGATATAAATGCACAGTATTTGAACCTGTACATCATTTAAGCCTCTGCTCTCTAGAAATCCTGGAAATTAAGGCATCATCTTATTGCATCTTCAACTTTTGTTTGGATATTTTGGAGCTTTTTTTCATTTTATATTTTTCAAGTATTTTTTGGTTACTGACCTGGTGAGTGAAGTGGTCTATGCTTTCTAACAAATGAAATCTACCATAGCTGATTTTGCTTGAAAGAGTGGAACTCAAATCTGTAATGTGTCATACTAGATATATAAGGGTATCCCAGACATGTTTATCAATTGTATGAGATGGATCACTTTATGTGTATATTGCTTTTAACTTGAGTATTACACGTGATTTTGATTGATGTGTAATATGCACTCCCAGTGGCTTATGTGATCGAGGCTTCCTCTCCACTTAGTATGCATATAAATTTTTGCCAAAAAGTAAATTAGTACTATATTGGTCTGACTATGGTTCTTTTTTGACAAACCCTGTTTTTTTTTCTCCCACTTTATTCTTTATCTTCTGATTCTAATTTGTACTTTCCTGCATAACCATTACCTAATGGTCTAATGGACTAAATGTTTCTCTTGGTTTTCTTCTATATACAATGGAAACTGATTTGAGCTGCTTACTTTATCCATACAATCGACTAGCACTGCAGTGAGGATGTAGTTTTATATATGTAATAAAGCCATACCATGCCTAGAACACTACTACAATAAAGTAATACACAATATATTTATGTATACTTTATTTTCTTTATTTTTATTTTCAAAAACCTTATATTTTTCTACTTTTACTTTACTGATGTGCACTGGTATATGGTGCAAAGTGTACTTTTACTTTACTGATGTGCACTGATATATGGTGCGTAGTGTTATTGGTCTCATATAAAGGAACTAGATCCCATGCTACTTTAAGTGGTACAGTTTTTCTTCCTACTATTTTGAAATTGCCTTCAATTTTTCTCCTTATTTCTTTATATAATCACGACCTCGATCAACAATTCCCTGAGCTCTACAGCTTGTAAAAGTGCCTGCATGACCCATTTTCAACTGCGTACCAATTTCTCTAGGGCTTTCCCCAATGGAAAATCAAGATACATTTATGGTCTCTGCATAACCTGTACTTTTAGCAGAAAAGCTTTTGCAAATTTCTTTTGGGAGTTTATTCACTAAATAGTGTATTGTGGGGAACTGAAAGCTAGATCACATTTTAATGTAAAATAGCTTTAATAATTGTCCAACTTGTCTAATTGAATCTAAAGTTTTTTTTTAATTTCAGTTTCAAGATAAGAAAACTCAAAATTCAATAATCATTAGTGTCACAGTATGCACGTGTCAATCAGAAGCCGCGATATCTGGTCCTCTTCTGTTTTCATGAATGTGTCGAATGTGCCGATCAGGAGGCAAATACTATTGGGTCTTCTGGCAGGGAGAGGGATGCTGCATGCTGGTGGAGTCCCTCTACTTATATTAACAGGACGCCTTGCATCATTTACAGTTCTAGGAGTGCCACATGGTGATGTGGACCAGTTAAAGTCCACCTCAGTGTATAAATTAGTTTCAGCCAGATTGACTTTGCCCTGTTGTGGTTGTCTCTTGGCTCCTCATATAGTGGATTATACATTTTCTGATTTCCTGGTTATTTAAATGTGGCTTGTTTGTTGACCTTCCTGACCTCTGTTATAATGACCTGGCTAGTTCTATTATATTCATGTATTTGTAGTATCCTGATCTTGGCTAGTATCATGGGTTTTCTCTTTTTGTAGGTTAAACCATAAGGTGCAGTCCTTTCTGTCTTCCAATTTCTGATCTATATTGTAAGTTTGGGTAGTTTAGCCGTGGCAACTTTTTATATTCAAATAAATGATTGTCACAAAATGTAAAGAAGCAAATAATAACAAAAAGGCTTTATTTGAATACAGATATTTAAAAACTTTACCAAATTCCCATAATATAACACAATAAAATAATGCCAAAATACCTCAACAACCAAAAATATAATTAGCTGACAAATGAGAGCTGGTAGTTGAGAGTTAAGAAAAATATGAAAGCTAGAAGTTAAGTAATCCCCTTGCATTTGTTACAGACCCTACAATGCTCCAAGCCATGTTGGTCTTGCAAAGGGTTACAGAGAATCTTAATGCTATCACATCTGATGTCATATGCTTGGCTTTTCTAGTGGGTACTTCATGCATTGTTTTATGGGTGCTAGTATTGAGGTATCATCTATACTCTACAATTTTGTATGTTATGGACTTGTAGGAATGATTTTATTCTATGTTTGTTAGTCACTAACCCAGTGTGCTTCCTTGTTATGTTTCTTTATTGACTGAAGACACATTTTTGATCTGTCTGTGTACATAGGCTTTGCCACATTAAGATGTTAAGTACTGATGTGATAATTTATACTAAAGAAATTTTGGATTAGGATGGAGTGCTATGGTTTCATTATAATTCTGGTATTATTGTCCTACTAAGGACCTTCCCATTTAAGCACCCACTTATAATTATTTGTTGGTTGGACATTAGATCCTCTCTGTGGAGCGCTTCTATGACTATAAGTTTGAATTTTTTTAAATACTGCCTGACCCAAGGCGCATGTATAAGACTGAATAATCCTGCCATATATTAAATGTAGAAATTCGTTTTTCTAATTATTTTTACAAATACTTCATTAAACAAACATCTACTTCCTCATATATCTTGATGAAAGGATTATTATATTAAAAATTTGTTTTGAGGTGGTATTTGTCCTTTATTATACAGTTCCAATGCTTCCAGTGCTGTTGCTGAGAGTGGGAGAGCTCAGCATATATATGCACCTTGCAATTGTCTTTGAAATACAGTTTACTCTTTTAAACAGACATCAGTATTTTCTGTTCACAACATTATGCTCTCAAACAGCCATAATCTACACACATGGCCTGCATTTTGGGACAGTCTAAAATATCAAGCAGATAGAAGCACAAGAAGTCATCTGTCAGATATTTTAGAAAATCTTTTTAATTGTCATTGTTTCTACAGTTATATTTTTATATTTATCAATATGTGTAAAATGGCATGCCTCCTTCTGTCCTTAGTGTTTTGACTGTGTCAGAAAGACTTATTATTAATTTATAATTATAATTTACTTCTAAAATATTTCGGCAAAGGCTTACTATTTAAATGTTTTTTTTCTGTCAATATAAAATATACCTGGACAAAAGTGTGTTTACACAATTCCTAGATTCTCTTACTCAAAGTATTGCCTATGCAATATGGAACTTTTCATTAAAAGTTTAAGAATGGAGGGGTTAATATGGAAATTTGATAAACTAATGTAAAAAATAGTAAATATGATATAGAAAATTGTAAAAAGTGTTTAAAAAAAATAACAACCGTATAATTAAATGCAGGACTGTTGTAATCATGATTTAGAATTCATCGGTATGGAAAGTAATTAAATTTTCCTAAGTGACTGGAAGCCATACTGAATTATGTATACAGCTTTGGTGACTAGACTGTCGAACTAGGCTGAAGCCATCAAATTAACTGGCCGTGAATCTGACACCAGGAACAAACATATGATATAACAGTTTAATGATCAGCACTCATTCCAGAGGGATATAAGGTTCACTAAGCAACTCAAAGTATTTCATTCATAATAAATGTACTGCAGTTTTAAATTTCCTGTGGCATTATATAGAACAGAAAACTGTGTTAAGAGTTAAAAAAATCTTTGAAATTGGTTTATTCTATTTTTTTAATCATGCACTTAAAATCCTTGTCTAAATGTATTTATGTAGTGTTGATAATATAAAAATATTTTTAAATTCTTAACATGTCCATGAACAACAAACATAATACATTTTTCGAACAAAATGTAAGAAGAAAATAAAATAATAAATGTTGAACTGTCAACTGTATTCTGTGATTGAACTTTTGTTAAATTAGTTTGACCTTTCCTTCCATTACATTTTCTTTTCACCAGAATTTAGAATAATACATCTATGAAATTCTTTATGTCATGGTCATAGAAAAACTGATATGTTTTAAGAGAACATTATGAGGGTTATTAATTAATGTCTGCCTTGCCGATGAATTGTAAAATTAAATTAAAAGGTCTGGATGCATTTCAATTTAGCTATTGTCATTGAATTTGCATACCCAATTTGTTTACACCTGCGGCATTGTAAAATAAGAGAACTTGTTTTATCAAAAGCGATGGCCAGTAACTGTTATAAAAACCTTTATTACAACATATGTGGTGTAGAATAGGGTGCCGTGCATTTCACTTTGTTAAAGGAATAATACTACAAGCACCATAATCACTACATGTCTCAGGCCTCTTCCCAGGGTTAGTAGTCAAACTGTCTGACAATGGTTTGAAAATGTATGTGGGGTTTAATGGGTACCAGTCACCTGCTTCTTTGGAGCTGGGCAAGATCAGTATTTAAGACTATTCAAGACTATTAATTGAGTTCCCTCAGTTAATGAGCCAAGTCCTGCATGTAGGTAGGTTGCCAAACTGATCTCATATGGTTTGAATACATACTATGGGAGGGCCCAAAGGTTCTATTGGCACCATAACAATTAGGGCTGAGGCATCCCACATGTCCTCTGCATTAGGAGGAGAGAGCATGCCATTATCACATCCACACATTTTATCAGCCCTTCACCTTCCACCCTTGGAGTGAAGAAAATGAGGAAGAGGAGACCACCTGGTGGTTAGTATGGGTTCCTGTGACCCATGTTGTTTTTCTATTCTTGTTACTTATTGATGCTGTTTTCTAATAGGGATGTATGCATCATGTGAGACTCTTTATATACACAATTGTTTATGGTTCAGAAATTGTTAAAAAAAAATATTGAGAAACATTTCAAGATGAGTTAGCTATAGTTTAAAATAGCCAAGCTGTCAAATTTTCCAGTTCAACTTTTTGGGACTAAAATGTATGATTTTCATATCAGTTATCCACAATTCCTACAATGGGGTTCAACACCACGCAACGAGCAAAAATAATCTCCTACAATTAGTGTAATTATATACACTCCTAATTATAACACATTAACTATTACTATAGATGCTATAAACATCGTAAGTGGAGTTTTTGAAAATGTCCTTAACTGTCAATACTTATGCGTAGCCTCACTACCCACTACTAATGTTTTTATTGGTGCAGATTGTAGCCAAGACTTCCATTGAGTACCTATTTTAAAAGTAAAAATTAACAAAGATTTACAGTATTTCCACTAAACAAATGGCCTAATGGTGGTTCCTATACACTTTTAATTGAGGAGAACACAATGAAGGCATCCGGGTATTATGAGAGCACAAGGAAGAAAAGATCATAAATATAAATAAATGTTAAAATGCAAGGGACATAAAGGAAAGAAACCTGAAAGAAAAAGAAACAAATGACAGATCTACTTTAACTCAATATATGTCATAATTTATTGCTGTTTACTGCTTTTCCCTTCATATAGCAAATTCACAATTAATTACTTTGTATTTCTGTATTTCTATAATGTTAATTTCCGGTTATGTAGAATTCCTGATCCTGGAAAGAAAAGCATGAACCATAGATTGTTTGGACGATGAGAATGTCATCAGAGCTGACAGTCCGTGAAACCCGCAGTGTAACTCAGAACATTCTTTTTCACGTTAAAGTAAACCTGTCACATTAAACTGTGGAGCATAAAATCTGCCCATTTTCCTGCAAACATTTTCATGAATAGAACAGAAATGGTATCATCAATGTTAATACTATTTGTGAATCTTCATGCTTTGGAGTTACTGATGTTACTGTTTTACTATTTTTAAAATACCATGTTATGATTCACAGTATACCAGTCCTTCTTTGTGGTCTTTCTGTAAGTAAAACATAATTTTCAGTGGTACAAGCAAGTGGTGTGCTAGGTATAAAATATAGTGGAGGTTTGTCCTTGCTATCTACCACTTAGGTACTTACCTGTGCCCATTATAGCTGTTATTATCAGTTCAGGAGTGGCTTTGATTCAGTATTGGAAATATATGTAAGAGTTTCAAGCTAACCATTATTGAAGTTGTGGTGAGCTCAAACAAATTACAAAATCTCCATGTTAATTCATGTATATTCTCATTTACACTGCTCTGTATACACAGCTATACTTTTAAAAGACCCAAACTCCAGCCTATTCTTATTTTTACTGCTATTATAGTTTATCTTTTTTATTTTTCCTTTTAACCTTTTTTTCTTGCAGGAATAGTCCCAGTGGCGGAACTACTGCAAGTGCGGCTGCACCGGGGCCTGCTGGCTCAGGGGTCCTATCAGATGGCCCATGCACATGGAGCCACCCAATGGACATCTTTGATCGGGGGCCTGGTCAGGCTCCATGGCCCTTTAGCAAAGTGACCGGGGTACCTGGTCTGTGCAAAACTGCGGTGCTGGGAGGAAGTGAATACAAGTAACTTCCTCCCAGCTTAACAATGAGCTGCACAGAGGCACGGACCAGAGAGGAAGGAGACTGAGTGCTCTAGGGAAAATAGAGAGCAGACTCCCACCACAGTCATCTAGATGCCACTGGATTTAAGGGGAGCTACTCTTCTGCTCTAAAAAGAATTGGAAGCAGGGGGGTCTCTAAAATGTATAATGTATATATATGTTATCTGTGTGTATATGTGTGCGTTTTGATAATTTTTAAATTATCTGGTGAACAAACTCAGACTAGATCTTCTGCAAAGCCACTGACGCAGAGACATACTAGGAATGGCAGATGGATTACTGTAGGATCTGGTAGACTTAGAGTTGTGGATAAAAGGCATTTTGCACAGTCTGTTGCTCTTCATAATTCATTTTCTGCACTTTCAGAGTGTAATGGTGTTGTGGAGAGAGGCACTGAGGCTAGTGGTGTTGTGGAGAGAGGCACTGAGGCTAGTGGTGTTGTGGAGACCGGCTTGGAGACTATGGTGAGGCCTAATAGAAAGCAGTTGTTGGGGGATTCCATTATAAGAGGTGTGGAGATGGACAATGGTGGTCTTGTGAGGTGTCTTCCCGGAGCTACTGCTCACAGAGACAGGAGACGTATCTGTAATATTGTTAAGCAAGCAAAGCAGGAAGGGGAATTGGATGTACTTGTCCATCTAGGGACAAATGACTTGGCTTGTAATGAGGTTTCAGAGGTTAAGGAAGTTTTTAGTGTTTTTGCCAATGATATACGGCAGGTTGCTTCCACACTGTCATTCTCTGAAGTTCTGCCTGTGCATAACACTCAGAACGACAGGCTGATGCGTATTAGGGACTTTAATTTGTGGCTTAGTTAATAGTGTCGGGAGCAAGGATTTGGCTTTATTTCTCATGGTAGCTCTGTTTGGAATAGAAATAAGCTGTACAAAAAAGATCGTTTGCATCTTTCTCAAAAGGGAGCAAATGTTCTCAGTGAGCAGTTCAGAGGTTTTGCTAGGATGTATTTAAACTAGGAGGGGAGGGGGGCAAAAGGGTGATAAAACATCAATCCAATTGTCCCCCAAAACAAGGACAGAAGGTGCCTGTAGCAAGTGTGTTAAAAAATGATAAGCTTAGAGTCATGTCTACAAATGCTCGCAGTTTAGGGAATAAGATCCATGAACTTGTGGCAATAATGGCAACTGATAGTGTAGATTTAGTCGCTGTTACTGAGACATGATATAATGAGAAAAATGACTGGGACATAGCAATACCAGGGTACTCTTTATATAGAAAAGATAGGGAAGGCAAGAAAGGGGGAGGGGTGGCCTTGTATGTGAAGGATAGAATAAAAACTAGCCTAATAAAAGTTAGTGAGGCGAAATTTGGTAATCACACAGTCACTCGTGTAGGAAGTTATCATCATGGGTGACTTTAATCTTCCTGATGTAAATTGGAAAACAAAAGTAGCTGCTTGTGCCAGGAGCACACATATTCTAAACTCCCTACTGGGATTGTCTCTAAAACAAGTTGTTGAGGAGCCAACTCATAAAGAGGCCATACTAGATTTAGTGTTAACAAATGATGATTTGGTATCAGATGTTACTGTAGGTGAAAGTTTAGGATCCAGTGATCATCAGTCAGTGTGGTTTAATATAAGAACAGTGACTGAGTCACACCACACAAAAACAAAAGTTTTAGACTTTAGAAAAACAGACTTTTCTAAAATTAGAACATGTGTAGAGGAGTCATTATCAGACTGGAGCAATTTAAATGGAGTCCAAGAGAAATGGGATTATTTAAAAGTTGCACTATTGAAGGCAACAGAAAATTGCATTAGGCTTGTCAGTAAAAGCAAAAAAATCAAGAAACCACTGTGGTACTCCGCAGATGTGGCCAAAATAGTTAAAAACAAAAAGTTAGCATTTAGGAATTATAAAAAAAACCAGAGTGAGGAAGACAAAATTATCTATAAGATTAGGCAGAAAGAGGCTAAGCAAGTTATAAGAGCTTCCAAATCACACACAGAAGAGAAAATAGCACAGTCAGTAAAAAAGGGGGATAAAACATTTTTTAGATACATAAATGAGAAAAGAAAAGTAAAACAAGGATTAGTTAGATTAAAAACAAAAGAAGGAAGGTATGTAGAAGAGGATAAAGGTCTAGCTGACTATCTCAATGAATATTTTTGTTCTGTATTTACAGATGAAAATGAAGGAAAGGGACCTCAGTTAAGAAAAAGGATAAATGAGTCATTTATTACACTTGAGTTTACAGAGGAAGAGGTTCTATTTCAACTGTCAAAATTAAAGACAAATAAGTCAATGTGACCTGATGGAATACACCCAAAGCTATTAAAAGAGCTTAGTGGTGTACTAGCAAAACCATTAACAGATTTATTTAACCAATCATTGTTAACAGGAATAGTCCCAGAAGATTGGAAGTGAGCAAATGTTGTGCCCATTTACAAGAAAGATAATAGGGAGGAGTAGGGCAACTATAGGCCAGTAAGCCTTTCTTCAGTAGTGGGGAAAGTGATGGAAACCATGTTAAAGGATAGGATTGTTGAACATCTAAAAACACATGGATTTCAAGATCAGAGACAACATGGATTTACTTCAGGGAGATCATGCCAAACTAATCTTATTGATTTTTTTTTTTGATTGGGTAACTAAAATTATAGATCAGGGTGGTGCAGTAGACATTGCTTACCTAGATTTCAGTAAGGCTTTTGACACTGTTGCACATAGAAGGCTTATCAATAAACTGCAATCTTTAAGTTTGGATTCCAATATTGTTGAATAGGTAAGGCAGTGGCTGAGTGACAGGCAACAGAGGGTTGTAGTTAATGGAATATATTCGAAGCTTGGACTTGTCACCAGTGGGGTACCTCAGGGATCTGTACTTGGACCCATTCTCTTTTAATATTTTTATTAGTGATATTGCAGAAGGTCTTGATGGTAAGGTATGTCTTTTTGCTGATGATACTAAGATATGTAACAGGGATGATGTTCCAGGAGGGATAAGCCAAATGGCAAATGATTTAGGTAAACTAGAAAAATGGTCAGAGTTGTGGCAACTGACAGTTAATGTGGTAAGTGCAAGATAATGCATCTTGGATGTAAAAACCCAAGGGCAGAGTACAGAATATTTGATTGAGTCCTAACCTTAACATCTGAGGAAAGGGATTTAGGGGTGATTATTTCAGATGACTTAAAGGTAGGCAGACAATGTAATAGAGCAGCAGGAAATGCTAGCAAAATGCTTGGTTGTATAGGGAGTGGTATTAGCAGTAGAAAGAGGGAAGTGCTCATGCCATTGTACAGAACACTGGTGAGACCTCACTTGGAGTATTGTACACAGTACTGGAGACCATATCTTCAGAAGGATATTGATACCTTAGAGAGGGTTCAGAGAAGGGCTACTAAACTGGTTCATGGATTGCGGGATAAAATTTACGAGGAAAGGTTAAAGGATCTTAACAAAAAGGAAAGACAAGACAGGGGGGATATGATAGAAACATTTAAATATATAAAGGGAATCAACACAGTAAAGGAGGAGACTATATTTAAAAGAAGAAAAACTACCACAACAAGAGGACATAGTCTTAAATTCGAGGGACAAAGGTTTAAAAATAATATCAGGAAGTATTACTTTACTGAGAGGGTAGTGGATACATGGAATAGCCTTCCAGCTGAAGTGGTAGAGGTTAACACAGTAAAGGAGTTTAAGCATGCATGGGATAGGCATAAGGCTATCCTAACTATAAGATAAGGCTAGGGACTAATGAAAGTATTTAGAAAATTGGGCAGACTAGATGGGCCGAATGCTTCTTTTCTGCCGTCACATTCTATGTTTCTATGTTTATCTTTGTGTCTGAATGTGTATCTGTGTGTGTAGTGTTATCTGTGTGTCTGTATGTGTGTCTGTGTGTCAATGTATGCTCCTGTGTATCTGTTTTTGTATCTGTGTGAGTGTTATTGAGTGTGTCTGTATTTGCATGTGTGTATCTGTGAGTCTCTATGTGTATTAGTGTATCTGTGTATCTGTATGGGTGTTAGTGTGTATGTATGTGTATCTACATGTGTGTCAGAAAGTGCATCAGTGTATCTGTATGTTTGTCAGTGTGTGTCTGTGTATCTGCATGTCTGTACCTGTGTATGTATGTGTGCCAGTGTTTGTATTTGTGTGTGTGTCAATGTGTGCATCTGTGTGTCTAAGTATCTGCATGTGTGTCTGTGTATCCGAAAGTGTCGGTGTGTGTCTTTATATGTGTGTGTATTTGTATCAGTGTGTTTGTGGCAGTGTATATTGGGGAGACTAGATGGGCCAAACGGTTCTTATCTGCCATCACATTCTGGGTTACAATATGTATACGAGTATAAATCTCAGCAATCAAACTCTAACACTACACACAAGTACATTCCTACATTAAAACGTCAACACTACATACATGCACCCCTACATTCAAAACCAAACACTACACACAAGTAAACTACTGCTTTCACATAGCAACAGTACATAAAGACAAACAGCACAACACTACACACAAATACACCCCTACATTTACACACACATACTCCATACAAAACATGCTTACAATCAAATATACACACACTGCTCAATACTATGTACAACCCTGCAAGATGGGCAAATGGTAGATCCCCAGCTGGCAAAGCATTGTGGGAGTTGTACAACAGATGGGAATCTATCTTTTTGTCCATCCTTGCGATAATGGGGCCCAAAAAAATTATTGCTCCAGGGCCCTCTTTATTTTAGTAATGCCACTGCCTAGTCAAATCTAGTACTAAGATAGACATAAGGATGTTTATTGTTTTGTTTCAATTTCCTTTTCAAACATTATTTAGAGCTATTTCTTTTCATACTTCATTTCAATTATTACAGCTTACATGAGGAAATCTGCTTCTCTGACTTATTTCCCATATTACACCGTGTCATTGCTCCAACATGTCGTCTATGTGTATTGATATACAGTATTCCTTGTGTTTCTATCTTTTGTCTTTACAATATATAATTTTTAAAAAGGGCATTATATATATTTAGGGATGGAAATCGGTGCTGACACAAGGATATGTGTGACAGGAAGACATTGATACTCTGGGACTAAAGTCTCAGTACTCTAAATAAAATATATATGGAATTAGATTTTTAGAACAAAGGCAGACACAGAAGATGAATATTGTGATTAAATAAGCAAAAGATCTCTGAATCTAGAAGTGTGATATTTCTTTCTTTCTGGTAAAATACTTTATAAATAAACATTAGCAAGTGAATAAGAAATGCAACTGCTTTTTGTTTTTCCAACACATATTCAGCTGAACTAAATAGCACTAAGCAAATTCATGCCATTTTGCTTCTTGTTGTATAATTGAAAAATAGATAATAACGCCCCAGACAGATTTTTTTTGTGCTACTTTTTTATATAGATCACTCCAAAATAATTCCACGTCTGTTCCATGTCTCTAAATATTTGACGAGGGTAATTACTGTGACAGATTATTTTTTAGCAAAAAAGAAAATTATTTTATATCACATACCGAGTGCCTGTAATGACAGACAGAGCTGGGAGGTAAATGTTATAAGATGATGTAGTGGAGGTATTATGGTTCATTTTAATTTTACTATGAAAAAAATGGACACAAAAAAACCATGACTGCTGACCCATACCCGTCTCCCTCCACAGTTGCCCCCCAATAACACATGTGACACATTCTTGTAGTGGATAAGGGAAACGGCCACAG